TTTCTGCTGGTTTATTGGAGATAAGAGTTCCATGGCTTTTCCTACCTGGGTTGGCTTTGAACCACGATCCCCAGATCTCAGCCTCCTGAATAGCTAGGATGACAGGCAGGAGCCACCAATGTTTATTTTTATACATGCACACATGTGTATATGTGCACACGCATATCTACATACATTCACACATATGTGTACACATACACACAATGAGTCGCGTATACACACATATATGTACATGTGTCTATCAATATCTATCTGTATAATTAAGTAAAGAATGTGCTTGTCTCATAAGAATTTTGGTTTGGATGCTTAACTTCATGGTCTTGATGAAAGAAGAGCAAGTTACTATTTTTCCCAACTTAACCTTTCTTGGCTACAGCGTGGGTAATGCAGGAGAGAGGGCGATGGATTTTGGAGATGACATCCACATTGTACTTGAGGAGTTAAAGGAGGGGCCAGAACTTTCCTTTCATGCAGGATCATGGGTGATGTTTTCCAGGGAATTGGAGTGCATCCCTGCTGCAACTCTCTTTCTTTCTCTCTCTGTCTCTCTCTTTCTCTTCTTTCCCAAAGAACCAGCCAGCATCCTTCGGCCAAGCTGGGAAAGAGGCTGAGGCCAACCTCCGGGTTCTCCAATGCACTAATTGATTTAACAGCAGTTTAGTACAATGTCGAGCATTGTCAGAAAGCTTCCTCTGTGGCCTTAAATCAAATCTCCCCAGATTCATCCTTTGCTAAGCACCTACTAGGTTTAAAAAAAAAAAGGCAAAAAATAAAAATCTCCAGGGCGGTTTATTGTTCTAAATTTATGATTGCTTTGTTAAGACGCGGCACCTCAAATCTCCCCTGAGCCTGGGAAGCAACAGAGACAAATCTCATGCAAACTATATTGAACAATTCATTATACAGTACCCTACAAAGCCACTCGCAGCATGGGGCTCACCCAGTGCGCTCGCTCCTGCCGTATTGAACAGTAATCACTCTGTAATGCTTTAGATATTTAAATCATATTTATAATAACACATATTAATGTAACATCCCTCATAAAGTGCTCCAGGCCTTTTATGGGGCCTATAAACCATGGAAAAATACAAAAATTTTAACGTGCTGATGTACCTACCCTGGAGTCTTCGAGGTAAGCTAATGAGGAATATATACAAAATTCCAGGCTGACAGTTTAACTATTTAAACAGCGTGCAGAATAACTCAAACACATCGGAGATATTGCTAGGGACAAACCCATTCTTTATCTAAATATTTGGCCAGGTTGTATAAGTGTTTCTTTTTTTTTTCTTTTTTACTGTTATGGTGAAGGAGAATGAGGGATTCAGCTAGGTTGTGAACCGTTTCAATCAAAGCTTTCAAATTCCCATGCCCACAAATCCATCACTTCTTTTAGCTGAAGAGTTCCGGAACATTCTACCATGCCAGTCACAGGGTTAATTTTAAGGCAAATGCAGGTATTTGTCTTGGCCTGGCTTGTCTAGATTCAGTATAGGAGCACTTTATAATCTCCGAGCAGCACTGATCATTAAAGAAGTTGTTGTTGAATGATTAATTTATTCTTCCTGAGGACAACAGCATTCTGTTGGGCTGGAAATTCAGGAGGCATCCCTGTGCTTTTGTGGGTACTGGGGCTAGATCATGGGGAAGTTCACTTGATCTAGTGGTTTCAAATAAGAGTTGTTTGGTGGTGGCTGTTGTTTGGCTGTGACCAGTGTTGCACTTATTAATTAATAATCGCAGTACCCTGTGATCACTTGGCTATGTACTGAACACTGTGTAACTCACTGGGGTCTCATTTTATGTTGCTTCCCTCCAACACCCTCCACCACTTACTTTGTGGCATATTGGGAGACTTGAACTCAGAGTTATGCTTTTGCTCGGCTATTTTCACTCAAGGCCGATATGCTCTAGCACTTGAGCTGTAGCTCCACGTGTGGCTTTTTGCCGGTTCATGGGAGATCAGAGTCTCATGGACTTTCCCGCCCAGGCTGGCTTTGAACCATGATCCTCAGATCTCAGCCTCTTGAGTAGCTGGGATGACAGGCGTGAGCCTCTACCCTACACCTAGCTTCTCTGCCATTTTCATGCTGGTAGATTTCAAAGCAGAAATTAGTGAGTTAATGAAAATGCCACATTGAAACCCACACCTATGATTCTAGCTACGCAGGAGGCTGAGATCTGAAGATCAAGATTCCAAGCCAGTCTGGATAGAGACTCTTATTTATAATAAATCAGCCAAAAGCCCAAAGTGGAGGTGTGGCTCAAGTGGCAGAGCACCAGCCTTGAATGAAAAAACTCAGGGACAGCACCCAGCCCCAGAGTTCCAGCCCGGTACCTACCTACCTACACACACACATACACACACACACACACACACACACACACACACACACACACACACACACATATGGTGGAGAGAAACTAAGGCCAACAGAACTTTCAGACAACAAATCAGCTACTCCCTTTGTCACCAGGGTAGCATTTCTTTTGGCGAGCATAGTTGGATTCTATTGTTTACTCCATCTTTCTCCACAGGCTGGGAAAGACTAGGAAAGGAATAAAATGCACGTTAAGAGAATCAGCCCCCAAGTTGTTCAGTTGTTGTTCCAAGGTCAAACGCTCTTCCTGAAACTGTCATCTGCAGCTCATTAATACCACACCAAGGATACATTAGAGTCAGAATGAATGGCTTCCTTTCCGCTGCGCAAGACCAGAACCCAGCAGGAATCAGTTATCAACGCTGAAATTCTATTGTTTAGCTATAATTAAATCTTTTTTTTTCTCTGTGGTATCCTGTAGGGCCTGAACTTTCCAGAAGGCTGTTAAATTCAGAAGTCTCCTCTCCAGATTGCCAGGCTCTGTGTAAATAGCCATCCACAACCCCGCATTCCAGCTGCACACTGGTGGCTCACGTCTGTCATCCCAGCGACTCAGGAGGCTGAGATCTGAGGATCACGGATTTGAAGTCAGCCAGCTCAGGTGAAAGTGAGACTCTTTTTCTCCAATGAACCAGCGAGAAAACTGGAAGTGGAGCTGTGGAAAGTGGTAGCTTCAAGCGCAAAAGCTCAGGCGCTGGGTTCAAGCCCCAATAGTGGCAAAAAAAGAAAACAAAAAGCGAGACAGGCATGGTTAAAGCCATCTTTATTGCTTTAACTGAAACTGTCTAGTTGATGTCCAATTTTCTTACGTCCTGAACACACGTCATTGGAGTCAGAATCGGTAATGGTAGGACAAAGGAAAAGCTATCTCTGGAAGTCCTGTAAAGTAAATATTCTCAACCTATTCCAGATCATTTGTATACAATTCCTGGGAATTGTGACTTGACTTGCTGTGTTTCCTGTGACACACACGTATTAAAAAAATTATCTTTAAGTACTTGTACAAAGGAGTTGTCATTGAACACAGCAGTTTATGAATGCAGTGTGTCTTGATTTGTGTCACCATTTCTGACTTTCTCTCCTCTTTCCTCACTATTCCTAATTTTGTAGTACATACAATAAATTCTTGGGTGTATTCTTCCCCTCTCCTCCTCTTCATTCTTCTGCCCGTACCCATCTCCCCATGTTTTCTTTTGTTGAACTTTGAGTTTTGCATTTGTAAGGAGTGACACTATTTGAGTTTGCCGTTGAACCTACCAGTACTTCAGTTAATACATTTGTATACACCTGCATACCACCCCGTGTATTTACTCTTAAGTTTACTAGCTAATTCTAACTATGACAAACGAGGGAAATCATGCAAGGTTTGTCTCTTGGCCAGTCTTACTCCATATAATATAACTTTCCCCCGAGTCTTTCCATTTCTTTACAAATGACACAATGTCTTCTTAATGGATGAGCAAAATTCCACTGGGTATGTATATTACATTTCCTTAATCTATGCATCCATTGAGGGGTAATTCAAGTTTCTTTTGCTGTTGTTGTTCTCATTTAAAAAATAGGTATCTTTTCTCAGTCATCAGGTCCAAAATGATGTGAGTTACATGAGTCCTTTATGAAATCAAACTGTGAGGTACTCGAATACCAGCAAGAGTATTCTGAGCATGAGCAATTATATTTCCGAGGTTGTGGTATAATTGCATTAAATGCCCTCATCCTAAATTAGTCAATCCTAGTGATGAGGAACATGGTGATTATCCATATTTACTTGATAGGTAAAGTGAGGAACTGAAGAATTCAGTGCTGATTGAATACCTTACTTCTAAGTGTAATGGATAATGTGAAGAATTCCCTGTTCCCTGTGCGTTTAGAATACTATTGCTGCTGAGATTATTTTGAATAAGAAGTCACACCTATTCCATAAATCCTGAAAGATTAGTTTTAGAGGAAATGAGCAAAAGCATCAGGTAAAGAAATAAAGTAGTTGGCAATCGTTAAAACTTGAAAGAAATCGGAGACAGCCTGCCAAGAAAACAAAGAGTAAATGACATGAAAAATTAGTTAAACAAGAGGTATTCAAATATCAACCAGAAGAGCAACCACGAAGTGAAAACTATGTGTGAGATTTGTGTGACTTGAAAGTGGCCAAGGTATTAAATTCATAAAAAGAAAAAAAAAATAACATCTCTCTTTAGTAGGAGAGAAGAAATTGGGCTGCCAAGTCTTGAAATCTCACGCAAAATGCATTTCAGCTAAAATCCCATGCGCGGAGAACATGCTCACTTGAACGTAAATCAGTGAGTATTAATGCAAATGGCAAGAGAGTTTTCTAAGCTCCTTACAACTTTGTCCCATGTCTCTGGGAGTCACAGAAAGTTCTAGCGACTGTTGCCTGGGCTATTTCCCTTCGTCATCTCTCATAATAAGTATTTAGGAGCAGGACTTAGGTGGAGGCAGCCATTTTATGAATGCAAAAAAGAGTAAGTTTAACTCGGAGATCTTGCATTAGCAGATCTACCCCTTGCGTATTTTAATAACCAGCTTGACTATACAAGTCCATCCAAAGGGCCAGTTGCTTGGTACATGGCATCCGTGATACCCACACGCTAACTCTGGTGTTTAATTTTGAGGTTCTGAGAGGCCATGGTACCTGGAGTCAAAGTTAGAGATTCGAGGACAACAGAGCCAGAATGCTAACTTGGCTTGCAGCTTTGGAGGGAGGTAGCCACTGGGAGAGATTGCTTCCTGTTGACATAATGTGTTAGTCAGCATGGGTTAGGGTAGGCTGCAGTAACAACCACCAAACAGCATGCTGGTTATTTATGAGGGTCACCAAGAACCCCGGCTTATAGAAACTCCAGTTCGTTGTTTTTCATGATTGCTGCAGAAGGAAAATGGGTTGGCTAATCATGAATTCTGCCTGAAAGTAATCATTTTTTAACAACTTTTCGTGTTTTGGAGGTTTTTGTTTCTTGTGTGTGTGTGTGTGTGTGTGTGCGTGCGTGTGTGTGTGTGCTTACATTTCTTTGGTTAAAGCAAGTCATAGGTTGTTTCCAACTTCTAAGGAGTTAATAACTTCAATCAGGCCCTACGTCTGAGTGTAGAAAAGTTTGATTATCAATAGTCTTGTTGACTATCCAACAGTCAGTTCTCTGGAATATATGGAAATTCTATTTGAAAATGCCTGCAATATATTATGCTTAACCAATTACTATATTCTGTCCAATAACTAATTATTATATTTTGTTTTAAGGAAACAATATAAGAATATATATTATATAATATATAATCTAAACATGTATAATATAGTATTATATATAATATAAATATAATATAATATATTATATTATTGAATTAAGAAGCTAACAAATTTTAAGATTATCAATGTTAATATAAAGCAAAGAAAGATGGTGGGAAAACTGAAAAGCTTTTTTCTTTATTTTCCCCTCCAACTTGTTTGTTTCTGTAGACCTACATTGTGGTCCCTTCTTGATTTATGTTTGTGTCCACGAAGTGGAGAATTAGAAGTTAATTCAAGCGAGAAGTTACTATTGCTTCATATTTTCTTTTAAGGACAAACTTTCCAGGTTAAATTATTGCAAGAAATTAGTCAGAGGTGCTATGTTTAAAACAGAAAATGAGCTGTTTTACTTAGTTTGAAAGTCAGCAAATCTTTCCTATTTCTGTCCCTTCAATTTCCAGCATAAAGCAAGCTACAAACATGGAGAGAAATACAACAGGAAATCTTGCCCATAGAGATTAACAACCCAGTGGGCAAATGTTGCCAAAATAGCCAGTTCTGTACCCAGATTGACTTCCATACCAGTGCCAAATCCATGGAGAAGTCAACCTCCAACCAATTCTGTCTCTCTTTCCTTCCTTCCTTCCTTCCTTCCTTCCTTCCTTCCTTCCTTCCTTCCTTCCTTCCTTCCCTCCCTTTCACTTTTCCCCCCTCCCTCCTTCCCTCCCTCCTTCCCTCTCTCCTTCCTTCCTTCCTTCCTTCCTTCCTTCCTTCCTTCCTTCCTTCCTTCCTTCCCTCCCTTTCACTTTTCCCCCCTCCCTCCTTCCCTCCCTCCTTCCCTCTCTCCTTCCTTCCTTCCTTCCTTGCTTCCTTCTTTCTTTCTTTCATTCATTCTTTCTTTCTTCTTTCTTTTTCTTTCCTTTCATCCCTTCCCCCTTTCTCTTCCTTTTCTTCCTTTCTTCATTTTTGTGCCAGTACTTGGGCTTGAACTTGCGACCTTACGCTCTTACTTAGCTTTCTAACTTAGCTTTTCCCACCTCTGCCACAGCTCCACTTCCAGACATTTTTGCCAGTTAATTGGTAGGGAGAGTCTCACAGTCTTCCCGACCTGGGCTGGCTTCAGACCACAATTCTCAAATCTCAGGCTTCTCAGTAGCCAGGATTATAAGTGTGACCAACCAGCACCCAACTTGATTGACTCTGGAAGAAACTCGGAAAGTATATCAAGACAAAGTATGCACATATTAAGTCCTGTACAGGTTGATAGCAAGATGGTAGTATTTAGGAGAAAGCATCCTTTGATATGTACGTGAGGGATGATTGGAGTAGCTCCGAATCCTGTAGTTAGGATGCATTAACTATTAGTTGCCTTTATATACCTGGTGGAGTTGTAATGAGAATCAAAGGAGATGGAAATTTTTAAAAGAGAAATTGCAAGATCAAATAAAAGGTCAGATATGCCCTATTCATTGTTTCAATTTCTCCTCTATCCATCCCTTAATTTGTCTTTTGCTTTCTACCTACATGAAATGACACTGGCCCAGTTACACGATCTTAGCAGGAGGTCAAACCCCTGTGATTCTAGACAGGTGACCTCTGTGCATTTCTTCCTATGAGAGAGATGTCAGCATAATGTGAGCAAATAGAAGGGATATTAGGAATAAGCTAGAAGTCATCCAGTTTCAAATGTATGTACTTTACTGATATTTGCCAATTTTTGTAAATGGTACTGGGTTTTGAACTCAGAACCCTTCAGTTTGAGACCGATGCTTAATCCTTCCTATTGGCATTTACCATATAACTAGGAAAAGAAATGCACATCACCATGTCCAGCCATTGGTTGAGAAGGAATCTTGTGAACTTTCTTTTTTAAATATCCCCCTCTACTCCTGGCCCAGGGTTGGCCTTGAATTGCAATCCTCCCATCTCTGCCTCCCAAGTAGCCAGGTGAAAGATCATCCTCTTACGGAATTTCGTTGCGTTCAACATTGGCTTGTAGCACGCCAAACAAGGGCCTAGATTCTGTGGGAGGATTCCACTTCGGATTCCTTTGAGAGAAAGATGGCGGGCCTGCTGATCAGTGTTAAGCAGAGGGTTTTGGCATAAGGAGAGGATGATATTTTTGTCACATCCAGTGATTGACTCATGGGGGGGAGGGAGGAGGAGAGTTTGCAGTAGTAATGACTGGGATAGCATCCTACAGTGATCTCTGTGTCCAAGCACATACATCTGGCTGGTCTCATTTGAAGTTGAATAAACAACGGTGTGTTTGGGGAAGCTGAGCCGGAGAACTGACTCCTGATGCTCGGTTGTCAGGATCACTGGAAGTTTCCTAAAAGGCATCATCAGTCAAAAGATGGGGACAAAATGATGCCGTTCAGTCCGCTGCGATTTCCCACATGATTTCCCCAACACGTCCTCACCTCGCATCGTGTCCAAAGAAAACGACTATTTGAGATTCTAACTTGAGTGTTCCCTCTTGTGTCTTGTTATTGTATCTCCTCCATCCCCACCCGCCTCTTCTGTTCATAATAGCCACTAGAAACAACAGAGAGGAGAATTTCTGCTGAAGCTATACTTTGTGGTTCACACATGAGACATCAGATAGCTTCTAACATCAGAGGCTGGTCGAGAAACCATGAATATTCTATCTATCTATCTATCTATCTATCTATCTATCTATCTATCTATCTATCTATCTATCTATCTATCTATCTATCTATCTATCTATCTGTATGTATGTATGTATGTATATGGCTTTGGTCCTAAGTGAACTTCTATAGCTCAAAGGCTTGTGACAACTGGAAGAGGGTTATTCCTATATTATTATTTCTTATGGCCTGTTATTGCTTATTGACAGTTATCCTTGAGTTATGCTTGAGTCGTTTCTCTCTTAGCATCCGTGTCCAAAAACTACATGGCGACTCCTGACCAGGGACTGTATTTATATAACATCACAAACATTTTTCATGGCAGTAAGCCTCGTAGGCTGTCAAATGCTCCGAGACAGACTTCCGAGCAATGGCCAAACAAATATAATTCTAATAGAGGAGTGAATAAGATTCCCCGCTGTTCTATATTGTGGTATCCAATACTGAGCCCCGAGTCGTACAGGATTTCAAACCAAAAAGGGAAAGAGCAAAAAAAAGATGGTCTACCTCAAAGATAAATGATGCTTGCTTGAAGGGATGAAAAGTTGTCATTGTGTAAACTCTACTTGCTTGGAGAGTGTTTATTTTCAGAAGATTGTGACTATTTTCTCCAAGGTTCTGGTGATTGTGTTTCTTTTTTTTTTCTTTTTCTCCTCTTGAGCAATCATGTTTCTCAAATGGTTAAAACTCGATAAAAGTGGTAGACACCCTACAGCCAAATAACTACTTTATAAGTGATATAGACTTGAAATGAAGATGATAAGAAATGAAGAACTTTGACCTTTTCATTCCAGCTCTCCTGTACTTTATTATACTCCAGAAGAACTACAGTAAAACTGGCCTGGTTCTTTGGTAGATGGATAGATCTATGGACAAACAGCAGATGAATGGAAGGCTGGCTGGATGAATGGATGGATGGAGGGATGAAGGGGTGAATGGATAGATAGATGAATGGATGGAGGAATGAGTGGAGGAATAGATGGACGGATATATCCATAAATAAGTTATCTTTAAGACTGCCATATGGAATGTATTTTAATCATTAAGTTATTTATTATGGAAATTTTGCAATCAAGCAAACGGGAGACTTAGATCTGCCTGGGGAACAGACCACTTCCCCTCCTTCCTCTTCATAAAGGACAGCACGAAGCCTTACTAGGAATCACCTGCCAGAAACCTGGAATCAGCTGTAACTGTCAATCACCCAGGTTCTGAGGTCACTTCCACATCCGGTGAGGTCACTTCCACATCCGGTGAGGTCACTTCCACATCTGCTTTGACCACACCCCCTCCTGGCCTTTCCCTTTGAAATCTCTCTCTGCCCTGACTTTCTTCCTTGTACACCTACATCTGGTACAGGTCGGCCGTGTGCTTCTCCCAAACAACTCTCTTCTGCCTGAACTGTGGGGTGGTCTCATTTTGCCAACCCTATCAGAGACAAAGAACCGTTAGTTACTAAGTCTGCATCTTTAATGAAGCTTCTAGAAAGGCTAAGAGTAAAATCAATGCCTCGCCTTTGAACCCATGTGTTCTAGAGCTCAGAAGACCTGGATTCCAGTCTGGTTTCGATTAGCTTTGCTGTGCAACCAATCTAAAACAAACAACATCTCTTATCTATGTCCTAGGAGTTGGTGGTGGGTGGGGGTCTCTGTCAAATCCACACTTGAGCATAAACATGCATATACATTGTTTTGTTCTTTTTTTTCTGGGGTACTTATGGCTGAAACATGGTACTGCTGGACTTCTTTTCCATGACACAGGGTATCTTCCTCTCCACATGGCTTTTCCTTATACACATCCAGCCTTCACAGTGATTCCTGGGGCACAAAAAGATTCCCAGTGTGTCTTAAGGCTTAAGCCTGCCAGTAGAGCACTATGGCTTCTGCTATATACTATTTGTTATAATGAACCACAGATTCAAGAAGGGACCACACAACTATGTCTTTCAGTACGTTTCATTGGGGGGCTTCTCCTCTTTCTCTCTTTTTCATCTTACTTTTTGTGCTAGTACTGGGGACTCAAGGCTGGCTGTGTGCCACTTGAGCCACCAGTATTGCACTTTGGCTTTTTGCTGGTTCATTGGAGATCAGAGTCTTGCAGACCTTTCTGCCCAGGTTGGCTTCAAACCCTGATGCCCAGATCTCAGCTTCCTGAGCACCTAGGATTCCAGATGTGATTCAGCAGTGACCAGTAAGTGTAGCTTTAACTACAGCACTCATTTGAACTGTCTGTGTGATTGATGTATACATTGTCCCGCAAGCCTGGAACCCTGGAAGCATGGTTTGGGGGGAAAGAATAAAATCATCTGTAGCCTTCTGATCTCACATGCATGCATACATCCATTTTCTAGTTAACTTTCATAGGATAGGTTGTAGAGAAGTAATTGAAAGTGCAAAGTTAAATAGTGCAAATCCTCACTGAATATGAACTCAGTTTTGTAGAGGAGGAAGACTAGAATAGTTTGTGCTAAATGAGTCAGCACAGGAGATCTTCATTAGAATCCAATGGTAGAAACTTCCAGGGATTGGGTGGTTAGTAATTAATTAGCCAGAGAAACTGGACAGATGGCAGAGGTTAAAATTATTCAGAAGGCCGTGATTCTGAGGTCAGACTCTCAGTAACACCGACGGATCTGCTGTGTTGCGTCTGTTTTAGTTAAAAATCATAGCAGAGAAATGAGAGTTTTTAAGGGAGACTTCTGCGCTTCAAACTTTTACTAAATAGTTTGGAAACTATTTTTAATGCAATGTTTGTATGGAGGGGTAGAGATAAGGTCCAAGTATATATAAAAAATGTTCCCCCCCCCAGTGGAAATAAGGGATACTATTCTTGGAAATGTGATATTTTTTTTTCTCTTGAGAGTCAAATAAATCAACAAATGACTATTTAAAGCAAGTGAGTAATCCCTTCCTCCCCTTCCCCCAGCTTTTTTAAATGACTTGTTATGACTTTGCAGATATTTTTTTTCCATGAATTTTCGAAGCAACAGGGAAAATACCACATTGGCATGAATAAGGAAAAAGAAATTCAAAAGCAGCTTAATCGTAAGAGTTTGGCTAGTTACAGGCCTGGCCTGGTTATATTTGAGATGCAATGTGAAAGAGCTACCCACCCTACAGGAGAAGAAACGAATGGCTGCCATCTTGGAATCTTCTGATAGTATTCATTAAAGATGGTGAAAGGACTTCATATGGATACATAAACACTTACTTACCTAAAGACTATCTGTGCATTCATTTCTCTTAAAAATTGTTTACATTAGCCAAACAATTGGTGGCTCACGCCTGTTATTCTAGCTACTCAGGAGGCTGAGATCTGACAATCAGGGTTCGAAGCCCTCCCAGGCAGAAAAGTTCATGAGACTCTTATCCTCAATAAACTACTCAGAAAAAGCAAGAAGTGGTGCTGTGGCTTACGTGGTAGAGTGCTAGTCTTTGAACTCAGAGCCCAATGTTTGAATTTAAAAACAAAACAACACAAAACAAAGTTGGTTTGTCTCACGTTCCTTGAGCAAAAAAGTTCAAGGACAGTGCCAATATCCTGAGTTCAAGCTCCAGTGCTAGTACAACACACACACACATACACACACACACACACACACACACACCAGAAAACCTTGGTTGCCTGCCTCATTTTTTAATGGTATATTCAAGAATGAAAAACCATGATTAAACTCTGTAAACAATGAACAATTTAATAGAAGAATGTCAGGAAGCTCAAATATGTTTTGAATGGGGGGAGAGGCCCTAATGGGAGAGGGGGTAGATGAATAGAAAAGGGAACAGTGGAAGAAGAAAAGTCATAATATTCAGTGTCTCTATGTGAAAAAGGAAGTGGGAATCTTCAGGTGATTGGAAGAGCAAGGGCAGCAGAAATACGGAAGGTGAATAGATATGGAAGATGGTTTGCATCAAGATATTCCGAACCCATAAATGGACATATTAACCTGTAACCCATTGATACAACCATTTGAGGGGGAAATAAGTATATATTAAAAAAGCAAAAAAAGAAAAGAAGAAGTAGAGGTATGGTTGAAGCAATAAAGCCACAGCCTTGAGCAGGTGAAGTTAAGCAAGAATATTAAGCGCTGTGTTCAAGTCCCAGTACCAGTGCGCACACAAACACACACACACACACACACACACACACACACACACACACAATTTAAAATTAAAAAACTAAAGCCGGGCAAAGATGCCTGTAATCCCATATACACACAAAAGGCTGAGATCTGAGGATCATGGTTCAAAGCCAGCCCAGGCAAGAAAGTCTATGAGACTCATCTCCAATGAACCACCAGAAAACCAGAAATGGAGCTGTGGCTCAAACTGTTAGAGCACTAGCCTTGAGCTGAAGAACTCAGGGACAGCATCCAGGCCCTGAGTTCAAGCCTCACAGTCAAAAACAAAAAAAGAATTTGAAAAATGAAACATTGAAGTATTTAAAAAACTTAAAAATTAAAAAGAAGCACCATTGGTTAATTTGTTTAAACATTCCTCACGAAGGCCTTTTCTATGATCCCTGATTTCATTTCATCTTAGCTTCTGATACTTTAAAAGTTGACTCCATCTAAACTTTGCCCGCTGATGGCTTTTAAATTGCAGTGAACTCACACAAGGAAAAATACGTGGTAATACCAACAAAATGGGAGGGATAGCAGAAATATCTCACTCGCTCACTGCCCAGGGTGATGATGGATTATTGTTGTCTCTGGCCCAATGTCCAGTAGCAGGATCATTAGAATATTATATCCGGATACCAGTGTAATTCTTTTTTCTTTCCATTTTGTGCTGGTTCTTAGGGCTTGAACTCTGAAGTCTGGTTCTCCACTGTTTGAGCCTTACCTCTACTTTTGAGTGCATCTGCATTTTTAATCTAACTTTTCTTCCCCGTTAAAGTCATTCTAGGGATAGATTTTTCTCCTAAAGACCAAGGTCCAACTAAGGCTGACTGTATGAGTCATGGAATCTTAGGACTAGAAATGATGATTGCAGAAGGCACCCAGTGTAACTCATAATAATCCGGTTTGGGGGTGGTATTTTTCTTTAATGGATTAGGTGGTGATTTCATTTCCTTTTTCTCCACGCCTCTTATCTGCATTGCTTAGATGTATGGGTGTTTTATTCTGACATGTCCGTCTGTGCATAAAATAGATCTTGATGGGACCCCCCCCATCTCCGTCCTTCATTCCCCCTTTCCCAAACCAACGGCAACAAGATTCATTGTTTCAGTCTCACTAATGTACACATAGCGATTACATACCCCCTGTGCTCTCTGGAACAAAACAACTAAGCAGGAGGAAGAGCAGAGAGGAATCCTTGGAAGGCTAGCATTTCTGAGAATGTAGGGATGAGTTGGTTGCTGGGGGAAGATCTGTGTGAGGGGGGGAAACAAAATCTCAGCGTCAGAGAGGAGAACTTGGACTAAAGAGGGAGCTCAAAGGAAGTGGATTTAAGGAGCTGATTGGAGGGAGAGCCACTGTGGTTTCATAGTGTCTGGAAGTTCATTCCTAAAGCCCTTGGTTGAGGGAGTAAGTTCTAGAAACAGAAGGCACATTCTTTAGAGTCACAGAGGGCTTTGTTCCTCAGGGGCCCGGGATGAGAGCGGAACTGTGCTCATTCTAGCAGGGCGAGCTCCCAGAACAAGAAAGTTTGTCACTCTTCCTTAGAGAAAAGAATGACTGGTGATCCTCTTCTCTTTGCTCCTGGAAACCAGCTGCTTTTACTGATCAACAAGAACTCTTGTTTGAACTCTTGAAAGTTAGCAAAGATAGCTTTCCGATGGCTGTAAACCATGGTGTCAGCTCCTCAGATCTCTCAGGAGAAATGTGTGTGTGTGTGTGTGTGTATGTGTGTGTGTATGTGTGTGTGTGTGTGTGTGTGTGTGTGAGTCCTGGGGCTTGAACTCAGGGCCTGGGCGCTCTCCCTGAGCTCTTGCTCAAGGCTGGCGCTCTACCACTTGAGCCACAGCGCCACTTCCGGTTTTCTGGTGGTTCACTGGGGACGAGAGTCTCACAGACTTTCCTGCCCGGGCTGGCTTTGAACTGCGATCCTCAGATCTCAGTAATGTGTGTACATTACTATTATAGGTATGAGCAGTTGACTGTCAAATGCTCTGATTAAGGACCAAGGTCACAAGTGCTATCGAACACTTACATCACGAGTGTTGTATTCAACGTTTCTCTTAGGGCTCAAAAAGTCACCCAACCTTGACTTGCCCACCATTGAACTTCCCTTTCTCAGTTTCCTGCCCGCCCGTCTCCATCTCTGTCCATCCGTCCCTCTTCTCAGATTCCTTATCTCGATGTGTTTCACAACACGCCTCTAAGGCCTAGCCGTCAGCGCTAATGTCTCCCTCTCCCTCGGGTCCAGGGCCAGTTTCTCATGTGTCTATTCCCGAGAGTCCTCAGATGACCTCCGTCTCCTCCC